TGAACTTACTCTGCAGCAAATGAAATGCAGCTATAGGCTCAGGATCATGGAATTCACTGATTTTACCATTTTCCCCATCACCCTGAAGCCACTGGGTGACAGAAACTGGAATGGGCTTTAGACGTAATAGCACTAGCTGGCTGGCAACTCCTTGAAGGGCTGGGGCAATTTCCTCCAGGATGCTCTATGTGCTCTAAATCAGTGACTAATATATGGTATTGTTTGTCCCACAGCCAGAATTCACAGGTCTGGAAATTGAGGTAGAAATGAGGGTGGTTCCTTACTATTACCCCAATCATCCACTACATGAAATGTTTCCATTCTGTCCTCACAACTTTGGTCTTATGATCTAGAGGTCTTAGTTCCCAAGGGAGAAGTACTTCTACTAGAGAATGACAGTGGTTCCATTAAACTGGAGGTTGATACTGCAACACCTGGCCACTTTGGGTTCCCTTGCCAGTAAATCAAAGAGGGGATTGCTGTATTGAATTGGATAACTAATCTTGAATCTCAAGAAAATGAGTTGCTACCACAACTAGTCTTGGGGATGATAAAAAGGAATATGTCTGGAATACATATCTCCTGAAGCTTCTCTTAGTATTCCCATATACTGTTATAAAAGTTATTGGAAACTACCTCAACCCAAAACAGCCAGGGCTGCTAATGGCATAGACTTCAGGAATGAAAGTGTGAGCTACACCACCAAACTAGAAACCATGACCAGCTAAGATGCTTGCCAAAGGCAAAGAGAATATGAAATGCATAGTAGGGGAAGGATATCGTAAATATTGGCTATGGCCACATGACTAGTTACAGAAATGAGGGATGTTATAATCTGAGTATATCTTACTTTAAAATAATAAATATATTTCTCCATACATTACCTAATTCTTTATTTATTCCCATTGCTATAGACTGAATTGTGCCCCCCCCCAAACCCCAATTCATACACTGAAGCCCCAACCCTTAATGTGAATTTTATGTGGAGACAGGGCCTTTAGGGAGGTAACTAAGGTTAAATTAGGTCATAAGGGTAGGGGCTAATCCAATAGCACTGGTGTCCTTACAAGAGGAAGAGATACCCAAGATCATGCTCTCTCTTTCTGGGCGCACACAGAGAAGAGGCCATGTGAGGACATAGTAAGAAGGCAGCCATTAACAAGCCAAAAATCAATCCTACCAGCACCTTAATCTTGAACTTTTAGCCTCCAGAACTGTGGGCTTTTTAGGCCACCCAGTTTGTGCTATTTTGTTATGGAAGTCTGAGAAGACTAATATACTCATCTCTACCATTTCCACATTATCTAACACAGGGTTTCTCAACCTCAGTACTACTGACTTTGGGGGATAGACATTTCTTTGTTTTGGGGACCTATTCCCCACACTGAAGGATGTTTAGCAACATTCCTGGTATCTACCTACCAAATCCCAGTTGCTGTGCCCCTCCCCTCTCCCAGTTGTGACAATCAAAAATGTCTCCAAACATTGCCAAATGTTCCCTGAGAAGTAAAACTGCCTCTAGTTGAGAACTACTTATCTAATACAAAATGCTTAAATAGTGGTTAACCCTATATCTTGGTATTTAAGTTACAGGATCTCAAAGCGGGAGTGTAACTCAGCTAGTAAAAATTAAACATAACCCAGGAGGGATAAAGTAGACTTTGTTTTTTTTGTTTTTGTTTGTTTGTTTTTTTGAGAGTTAGTTAGCATGTCTTCAGTCCTATGAAAGATAGTTACACCTTGTTAGGTGGAAGCATACTTTTACTTCTGTCTTTATTTGGAAGCTAAATATCATTATAAGGTTATAAGGGGCGTGGACAGATGTCAGGTTGACAAAGGGTAGACTGTAGGGGTTTGTACTGTGTCCATTTGGTTAAGCTAGGAACTATGCTTGACAGAATCCCCTCCTCTTCATGGTTCCAACTTAAAGTTGGTCAAAACAGGAGTTGCATATAATCTGGTGGCAGAGGGTCGGTCGCGGTGGCTCACACCCGTAATCCCAGCACTTTGGGAGGCCGAGGTGGGCGGATCACAAGGTCAGGAGATCGAGACCATCCTGGTTAACATGGTGAACGCCTGTCTCTACTAAAAATACAAAAAATTAGCTGGGTGTGGAGGCGAGCACCTGTAGTCCCAGCTACTTGGGAGGCTGAGGCAGGAGAATGGTGTGAACCCGGGAGGCGGAGCTAGCAGTGAGCCGAGATTGCGCCACTGGACTCCAGTTGGGGCGACAGAGTGAGACTCCATCTCAAAATAATAATAATAATAATAATAATAATAATAATAATAATAATAATCTGGCAGCAGAAGTAAATCAGCAGGTATTATTCTCTGAAGGTCATCCTAGTCCAAAGAGGTGACAGACAGATACCCACTGTCCAGTGAATTCCAGCTCCATATTCAGCTCTGTTTCCCAATTACTGATCCATCAACTGTCTTCTGAATCTACACTTTCCCAGAAACTTCCACAATTGTGTAAGGTCTTATTCTATAATAAATCCTAGAGCACTCATTAATGACTCTGCTCCCTTGAGTACAACCTGATGCAGTGAACCTACAGGGAATCCACTGCTTCTATGCCATTCAGTGGTTCTTGCTTTAGGTCTATGTGAAGATGAAAAAAAGCAGTCCATCTCCCTTTGGAAAACCTGTGTACTCCCTCTACCGAAAAAGTCTTCTAATTTATAGAGAGTTAATAAGTTAGTGGAGATCAGCAGGCAGAGTGATAAAATATCTATCAGTTTTGCCTTAAAATTAAACACTCCATATGCTTATAATCCTGTTCTTTGCCAGCACAGTCACTTAATTAGGACATTCCCAAGTTGAAACTCTCCTTAGAATAAAAGCTGTTAAACCTCCCTAAAAGAAATTCTCTCAGAATTACTTTTACATTAGATAAATGCCATTCAATAACTTAAAATACAGCCCTGTGGGTTAATTTAATTTTTAATAAAGGGGAGGGAAATAAAGTAGCCAGCAGTTTTGCTTAAGAATCTTTACCTTTGTATTCTTTATAACAATCGGATATTGCATTCCTGAAAAAAAAAAGTAAAAAATTTATTTTTAGCAAAAGGCCAATATTATTTGAAATATTACACTAGCAACAAACTTAAATAACTCTTTTTCTGTCATTACTATGATTGTACCCTACAGTTCATTCTGAAACTTTTTACCAAATAACAATGAAACTAGTTCATACTTAACAACATATAAAACTCCAGCATGTTTTTAGCTTGGTTTTAACTCATCTAATCTATGCTTATAAACCATACCCCACCTGACCTCCAACATAGACATAGCTATTATAATCCTGGAAACCACACTGTATAATGGATCATCATAAACCAGTATGTATTTTCCCACAGAACTAAAGCTATGATATGAGAAACCTTGCCATCCACGTGTTGGTTACTGGATTCTTTGCAGGTTCTACATTGTTTAGAGAAGCAAGAGTTTTCGCAACACAAAAACTTCCAATAAAAAACTGACCATTTTTAAAATTAGTTCCCACTCAGATACACGGGATCTCAAAGTTTTATAAAGCATACATAGAGCAGATAAATATAATCTACTTGTACCATAAATTTGGTTTATTATGCTACCTATCTAAAAAAACTTTAATTATTTAACAATTTTGCTCATCATTTTAGAATTCAGAAAGACAGAATGATTCAGATGGCTTAGATCTCCTTAAAAACCTGTCAAGGAAGAAAGAACAGAATACTACTTTTTTTCCCCTTCAAATTTCTCAACAGCAAATAGAAGTCTCAAAAATCTATCATCTGGACAAAAAAAAAATTAATGCCCTCAAAGCAAAACAAGACAAACTCTTAATTGCACTCTTAAACTGTGTGGGGGCTGGGCATGAGGTGGGGGGAGTTCCAAATGACCAGGTCATTTTATGACCTTAGGCTGTCATTCTGACATTCTGAAACTTGGGTGTGTCTAAAAATCACTAAAAGCTTATTACTAGGTGCTATTTCCAGACAGTCTGATTCAGTAAGTCTGGGTGATGCTAACATTTGCATTTTGGGCCAGGCACGGTGGCTCATGCCTGGAATCCCAGTATTTTGGGAGGCCAAGGTGGGCAGGTCGTTTGAGCTTAGGGGTTCAAGACAAGCATGGACAACATAGTGAGACCTTGTCTCTTTTTATAATTTAAAAAAAAAAGAAGAAGAAGAAGGAAGGAAGAAAAGAAGAAAAAGGATATTTAAAAAGATAGCTTGGATCCCTTTCATGGTTCTC